CGGAATTTGGCAAGGTACGTTCTATGACTCTCTTTGTACTAAATAGCACCACGTATATGCACAAAACGGCCAACCAAATTGCCTTCTCTTCTAATTGTGTATGAGATTTGCAATAATAAAACGTCAAGCTTTAAGTGCAAAAAAACAGGAACCTTTTCTTGTCTTTGGAATACAAATTCGTAATAGGGCCTACAAACTAACCAATTTTGTGATGTTTTATGAGACTTCCCCGAAATGCTTTACAGGGTTTACATTTTTGGCTTTTGATTTCCTTAATTATTGTATTTTCATGCCTCAATTTCCTCTTTTTTTTGAAAAAGCAGAAAATTAGGAAAATCATTAACGTTATACTCTAATAATAAGAAGAAAAGGGATTTGTGTCCTTTTGAAACATTCCTTTTTGGTCCTTGTAAGCGACCTACATTATAAGATTCCTTAACCCGATGTGATCAGCATCGGAAACTTGCACAATGAAACATTATTTCTGTCGGTCCTTTGCGTGAGATAATTATAAATGAGGCAGAAAATTATTCCATCGCCAACTTTATAACAAATTATATTCATGCTGGGAAAGTTTTGGAACTTTCCTTTTAAATTTCCTCGTCTATTACGAAGTTTTTAAGCATTTTCGCAGACTTCTTCTCCCGAATAAAGCAAAACAGTGTTAAGATTTACTGCATTTATAATCAAAAAGGTGCGCGGCCGTCAGCGATACTTCCATACATAAATATTTACATAGTGTGCAAAATAAATATAGCCAGATGATAGGAGGAAGTTCCTTAAAGTTTATAAGGGTTACCCAAAAATACGTTAGTTTTTTCAGTTCTTTTTCATTAACTTTTATTCAACAGATCGCAACAGTATTTGGAATTTATTATCTATTTATTTATATTGTTTAATAACAGTGAAATAATTGTAAAAAAAATAATTAAAACTGACTTCAAAAATCCTTGGGCATTCCTGCATTCTTTTACATTCACAATCAGTTCCAGACGATAATATTTCTGTACCCATTTAATCTTCCAAACTTGCTTGAAGTTAATTAATCAAATTCATTCACTTACTAATTGACTAGTACCATCATTAATGGGTATGGCGTCGAAAAATAGAATACACATTAATTTAATCCTAAACCATTGACTTAAACGAAAGATTTTTAAAGCTATACCAAATTTATACCTTTCTGCAAGTCCTATCAAAAACCGAGAAAGTTCCGTCTTCCTTTCGTATGACATTATTTCTTGAAACACCCTGTACATGAATGTATATCGTATATTATTACAATTATATTTTATTCACTGGTGTGCAGTTTAGTTTTAGAACTGCCTCTCTTTGTTCAGAAAATACGACACTGAGAGTCCATAGCAGATAGACAATTAACCCCCTAATGTCGGCTAGGGCAACCCTTTATACCCTTACTTAATTGTCCCTCCCTACCGGTTTATCTTCGAAACGATTTTCTCAACTGCCTGGAGCAAGGCTCCTTAATTATATTAATTAGCCTTTCAAAGAAAGAATGGAACATAACTCTTAAATATATTGTATCAAGAAACCACCGCCGCACCGGTTGTTAAAAGAAAGACGTATCTCAATCTATCTAAAGCTTGTACACGTGGCTATCATAATCAGAGCTTTAGGGGCCTGAAAGGGCCAGGTTCGCTGGATAGCATTAATTAGCTANCTAATATAATTTATTTCACACATTTCCAAGCGATTTTAGGAATTATATACCTAGGAATTGTTTAGAATGATGGATTTCATATATTTCCCGTAACATATGTACCAATAACTATTTCTATTAATAAACTATCGAAAATAAGCATAAAACTTGAATGTAAACAATTAGAAAAGTGTCGGTTCTATTGTTCGTCTTCTAATAAAGATAAAACGACCAGAATAAAGCTCCAGAATCCTAGAAGCTCAAGAGGATTACATTCAGAGACAGCTTTGTTGATAAATGCGTCTTGGTTGCAACATATTTTCATATTACCGGTAAACTATAGTGGCCGAGTGCAAGATGTTAGAACGGAGTTTTAGAATGTGCAAAAGCAGTGGGCAAACTGTTGGTGCGGTAACTGGTATAAGGTATAAGGGTGGTGTAAGTAATCCACTGGCGACACAGTAATAATTCATTAGGGCGGACGGCACTAAATTTTGTAAATCCGAAGCAGCAAATAATGGATGGAAATAAACCGCTCCAGGAGGGCGGACAAGAGAACACCTAAATTATTTTATTTACCACGAAATGTACCTTTCAATTGCAGCAAGACCGGCAACGGAATGCCGTACATAAATTAAGAAAATCTCGGATCAGATTTCTCCCACGTAATTCTACTCCCGAAAACCAACAGCGCAAATTAAACCTACCTCAGCGAACTAAATCACAAACAACAGAAAAACGCAATAAAGAAAAGCGATCGCTCGTACCTCTAATTTAATTTCAAGTTGATTCAAGATTTAGTTATGGAGTATATCTGTCTGGTATTTTTTTGTACATTAGTTTTACCTCGAAATCTTGATGTATCAAAGAACTCTATTATGAGTATAAATAGTAATCCTATTAATATTAAAACTGACAAACACATGAGTAATCTTATAAGGGTTCCGTTATACATTCGGACATAGGAACCCTAATAAATGCGAATGTATGATTGTTTATTACGATTTTACGCATAACTATTCAGCCGACCATCATGAAATTTTTTTCAGACAGAAAAGGTAATACGGTACCTTTTCATCATCAACATAAGGTCATCAGTCCTAAGACTGGTTGGACACTCACTTCCAGTCTTTCCTATCCTGAGCTAATATTCATATTTCCACAAAAGTAGAACATCCCACATCCTTAACTATTTGTGAACTAATCTAGGTCTACATCTACTCCTCTTAACTCCTGTGTCTGCCTCTAATATGTATCTGACTACACCTTCATGCCTGAGAAGGTATCCTACCAATCTATCTCGCCTATTTCTTATTGTCTTCCGTAGAGTCCTCGGTTCTAATCGTTCAATACCTCTATATTCCTAACCTTCTCTATCTAAGGTATCCTCATCATTCCCCGGGAACACCACATTTCGAACGGTTCTAACCTTTTCTTTTTCGCCGCGCCCACCGTCCATGTTTCGCACCAGTACAGCGCCGCACTCCAAACATACACTTTTAACAACCTTTTTTTAAAAATTTCTAAAGTAATCGTTCGCGAGCATAGAAGTGACTTCATTTTATTAGAGGCGACTCGACCCTGCGCTATTCCCTTTTTATTTCCTTACTACTTCTGTTCTAACTAATCTGACTTGCTAGACACCTCAAATAATACAAACATTTATAACTATCCTTAAATTACGTACTATAGACAATATATAATATCTCCAACCTTTTGATATGAGTTGTATGTAACTAATTGTGTTGTGATAATTTCGTAGTCCTTTGATTACAATCACGAAACAATGTACCTACCAAACCGCGTGAACCGACAAGAAAAACCTAGCAACAAAATTTAATAAAAAATGAACTCGATGATGTGCCCGCTATTCGCATCTCGTCATTAAAGGTGATGTTGAAAAATGGCTTTCCCGACCGTGTTACTTCATTTTTTCACCATTATAGCACCACGGGCAGCATTCGGGTCGTATTCAATTTGCAAGATATTTCAACGTACATACACCTGCTGCAACATCGCAGCGTGCATTGCTCCATCACCGTGCGCATGCAGTTACAAGTTATTAAGATGCAAAATTTGTAAAATGAAATTCCATAGTCGAGTGCACGGGACAAGGGAGAGGGGGGCACGGGGACCCCTTTCAGCGTCCCCATTTGCAGCTAATTACCTTCCACGTCCCTGCCGCGACACAATCTATTACTTTAATCCATTTCGGCGACGCGACGAAATTAATGAAACGCCCGTCGACATGGCATAGTCGTTGCGACGTCATCGGCGTCGTCGTCGTCGGGTGTAGTTAGTGCTGACGGCAGCAAGAATTGAAACGGTTAAGACTTGTTACAACGTCGCTCATCAGTTTCTTCTTCTTCCTCCTCATTTTCTGCGTCTTCTTCTTCGTCATAGTCGGTCGTCGCCTTCGAAGAATTGAGGGATACCAGAAAATTAGCTTTGTTAACAGTGCAAAGGGATGACGATCTCCCTGTTCTTGACAAGCAATTACCCCATTTTAAGGCTCTGTGAGCCGCTTTTTCGGGAATTGCTTCTGCCAAAAGTTATGGTCGTTTGTACAAAGGCCCACGGAATGTTGCACATTTCATTCCGATGAAACGAAACACAACGACAAGGCGCTAACATTACGTTATGTATAAAAAAGTGTCACTTTAACTTATTGTTAGACTTTTTATTTGATACTTAAAAGTTTCCTGAAGCTGCATTTCTTATCTCTATTTCCTTTATTTGTAGGTACAGATAAATTTCTAAATAAAATCGAAGCGCTTACCGAAGTAACTACCTTTTTTTAAGGTCATATGGTTAACTGAATACTATTAAGATTCAAACAACCCCCAATTGATAATGATATGTATCTATCAGTAGAAGTTTTATTTACTCAAACAATAATTTAACTATCATTAATAAATCACATCATAGGGTGAATGAAGATCACATGTCGCCTCACCACCCTGCATTATTTGCTTCCTCGTTTTTTTTTTTTGGATTCAACTCGTTTGATTGTTACTAATTTCGCTATTTAAACGATTGCTAATTTTTACCTACTAACCCAAGTAGGTAATTGGGTGTAAGCTTGCAGTTTTAAGTGACCTAAATAAAAATTTCGAGTTTCAAAGACTTCGTGTATTATATTAATTACCAGTTCCGATTACAATTAATTTAACATATGTAACACTAATGTTTTTCTTCTTCATCGTATTTTATCTTACCATTTCGCGAATTAAATAACTTTTTATACTACGTCGATGGTTCTTGTGGTTGACTTTCGGGATATACAGATTACCCTTGTCAACTTTCGAGCCCGTTATCAATCAAGTTTTATTTGTTTCAGTTCTGGGCGGCGTACGTACCTTGCGATAGTCAATACAAGGATGCGGTCCAGTTAACCCTGGAACAAATCGACGTTATCAGAAGGCTGACAGAACTCTACCCGCCTCTGACCCTTTGCACGTCGGCGGAAGGTGAGTCAACATCTCGGCTTCGGCGACCTGTACAAATTGAATTTCTTCCCGATTCGATGTTTGCAAGCAAAGATGTTATCAGACCATCAAAGCCCTTTTCATTTTGACGTGACGCCTTCTTCTTTTTCACCAGCACGAAACGTCGGCAATGACTACTTATTCCTTTCAAGTGTTCGATCTCGTAAATGTACCTATGTATCTCATAGAATATAGACCGTCGAAATTCCTAATAGAAAATTTTTCTGCTAAGCGACAAAAGAATTCCTGTTGGAGGTTGGAGATCCTCAATAAAGAAAATTGATAAAATTTCACAGGATTTCATTATTGCTAGGTACTTAAAAAAGCTTAACGAAATTATTGCGTATATATAAGTCAATTTATTTAACTAAATCGAAGCATTGCCAGGGATAGCGGTTCGATTCTGGGTCTGCCTACCTTTGTGTAAGATTTCCTATAGTTTGTATTAGAGAATTAATTTTCGAATTAGTGACGTTTGAATGTAATTTGCAATAACAATTTAAGCTTTGAAGCACCTAAATAAATGAAATTGAATGCCTAAAATAAGAGTTATTGCTAAGAAAATGTCCTATCGAAAAATATTTGCAATAACTCTTAGTGGACGTGTGGTAAACAAAGCGGAGAATTTGCTTATTAGACACAAGAAGGACTCCAAATCCGACCAGAATGGATGGCATATGTCGTGCTCGGTAATGCTTAATAATCTACGAACGAGCAAGAAAAAAAATGGTCTCTCAGATCCATTTTATCTGGGTTTATGTCAGGTATAAAACAAACGGACAGATTTGGTTTTAGTTTTTCTGCTACATACTTTTTCCAATCCACTTTTCTTACGATGTCACCTTTAATAAATCGACTCAATTCACCGACAAATTGTCGGGAAAGTTTTCCCAAATAAGTATAACTTCTAGCTATTTCCCAAAGGTAGCTCTGGGATAATGAAGTGTTGGCTATTCAGTAACAAAATGAAAAAGGATTGGAGAAGTAAAAATGTTCCCGCGGGGGTACCCTTTTAGTCCTGAATTGATTCCTAATTCTTAGTCTTTTTAGAAATAAACTTTCTTTGAAGATATACAATATAAAAACAATGGTTGAGATCCCAATTTCAGATACCAAATTTTAGGACAGTATTTCTAGTGACCTTTATATGTAAGGTCATGTTACTAAATCAAATAAATCCTTAAACAACGTTCACTTCTTAGTCAATAACTTTCAGTGACAGTTATCAGACATGGATCGGGATTTCGAACTTATAATCCTTGCCAAAGTATCGATATTCCCTTTTACAATTTCGTTGTAGGTTTAGTTTGCATGTAACATAACGTCTATTTTTAATAGTAAATGTCTGTATATTTTTAGAAATAAAAGCAGCATACGGAAAACACCAAGTGTGCTCGTTAATCGGAGTTGAGGGTGGACACTCGTTAGCTGGTAGTTTGGCTGTGTTAAGGATGCTTTACCACGTTGGAGTGCGCTATCTAACACTAACATCCACATGCAACACGCCGTGGTAAGTGTAAAAAAAGACTAATAGGTACAACGTTTTTCTTCTTTTTTTATTTGTTTGAATTCATGCGAAACATTCAACATATTCTATACCCTGTTTTTACAGAGTTCTAATTTGCAGGAAGTAGTACTATAACCAATAAATTAATGTATCTGTTACCAGAAATGTATAAAATATAGGAATCGTATGCAAATCCTAGGAAATGTATACAATTCCGAGGCTATTTAGGAAATGTATAAAACTAATGCTTTCTATGAATAAAATAAGTACCCTCCCCTAGCTCCACTATCCCCGCGTACCCATTATCATCTTGAATGTAATACATTTCCGATTGCTATTTAGGAAATGTATAGATTTCCTAGGAAATGTGTCTAATATAATTTATTTCACACATTTCTGGGCGATTTTAGGAAGTGTATAAATTTCCTAGGAATTATATACAATAACGGATTACACNTGTTATGATACATATTATAATGAAATCATGCAATGCCCTCATCAGAAACAGTTTCCAGATTTAAAGCTCCAATAATATTGTAATATCAAAGACTTAGCGGATGTACTTCAAAAGGTAATAAATTTAAAACCCTAAACACTTGTAAAAAATCTTCCAGCACACCTAAGGGCTTCAAATACATAAAATAAAATATTATTCAACCAGTTCCTTTCTGTAATTCAAATTTAAAGAGGGCTTGAAGTACTTTGAAAGGGCTTTAAGCACTTTGAAAGGACTTAAAGCACTTTAATAAAGTGATTCATTTATCACATTCCAACTAGTTGTTCACAGAAAGGCTTGAAGTACAGTATTTCTAAGGTCTGAAAGGACTGGAAACACATTTTCAAGCACAAAGTATTGAAGCTTTACTCAACTCTGTTTTAAATATTCATCAACTGTTAATAAAATCATAAACTACTGCAGTGTACGTTAATGTTGGTCAAATTAAAGATATATTGTAAAAAGAGATCCTCATCTTTTCATCTATAATTACACTTATTGGAAATTTAACTAGATCTGTTTTTAATTAAATATTTTTTTATGATTGTTACACTTTTCTACAAACGAAAAAATAAATGTTGCACCTAATAACATTTTCATTTTTTTCTTGTATTTAGGTGTAGGGGCCTTATATGTTCGAAGAAGACCAAGGGTTAGAGTGGAGCCAATACAGAGTGGCGGTGGTCAAGAAAGGGGCCTCAGAAGCGGCACTGTACCTGCACCCCTTGCAGTTGGAATAGGTGAAGCATGTGCTGTGGCGCAAAAAGAAATAGAATATGATCATCGATGGACTGAATTTTTAGCCAAAAGGCTGCTTGATCAAATCTTTGGTAAACTCACTCATGTTATACGAAATGGAGATCCGTTGGAAAGTTATCCAGGATGTATTAATTTATCTTTCGCCTTTGTTGAAGGTAATGTTCCTTTTTTTCATTCTATTATTAACTATAGGCTTTTTTTATATAAATTGTTTTTTGCAGGGGAATCTCTCTTAATGGCCTTAAAAGATGTTGCTTTATCAAGCGGTTCTGCATGCACTTCCGCTTCTTTGGAGCCGTCATATGTTCTAAGAGCTATTGGGGCTGATGAAGATTTAGCTCATAGTTCGATAAGGTACATTTAGACAATCAACAAAAAAACTAAAATGCATATCCAATTAAATATGTCCTTCTAATAAATAATGGTGTAATTATTACTTAAAATTAAAAGAAACGTATTTTTTTCACAGATTTGGTTTGGGACGTTTCACCACTATTGAAGAAGTGGATTACACTGCTTCAAAATGTATTCAGCACGTTACTAGATTGAGAGAAATGAGTCCTCTTTGGGAAATGACCCAAGAAGGTGTCGACATAAAATCTATACAATGGTCACAGCATTAAATTAAACTAATACAAAATTGTAACGTTCGAATTTTATTTATTTTTAAAACACTTCNAAAACCCCATATAGCGCTTTGTTTGTGATTTCCTATGAAGATTTTATGGAACATTTAAATGAGCCCCTGCAATCATCATCTAATAACCATTACACCTAGCAATTTTAATAACTCGCATATTTCAACATAAATTATTCCGCGATAACAAACAGATTCCTGAGTTACTATCTCCTAATGCCGAAGCAGGAATTTAATATTCCTAGTGCATACAATAAATCTCAACAAAACACCTGTTGATTCCTCATGAACGAGAAAAGACTTTCAAGTCAGCACGAAGCAGTTTCCTTAATCGTTTCTTTATCTGAACCGAAAAATGCAATCTTCGTACGTTGTTTAGTCTTTAAATTGCTACATGCTACGAACATACTTCATATAAAATTCACATAGTCATTTAAGCGTAGTAGCTGACTTAAATCCTAGCGAATAAAAGCACGAAAAACGATTTTAATGCATATTTCGGAAAGGATTACTTAAAAATATTAAACTAAAGCCTTAGCTGCAGAACATGATCACATTTCAGATAGAGATAGGTTAATAGGACACCTTCTCAGGTATAAAGGCATAGTCAGATACAGAAACAGGAGTTAAGAAGAGTAGAGCTAGACCTAGATTACAATACTGTTCGCAAATAATTAAGGATGTGGGTTGTTCTAGTTTTAGGGAAATGCGAAGATTAGCTCAGGATAGAAAAGAGTGGAGGTGCGTGTCCAACCAGTCTTAGGACTGACGATGATGTTGTTGATACTGATCTTGTCTCATTAATAGTTCTTTCCTTTCTTAATCTTTTTTTTTTTCGTCAAAAAAGCTCATTTTCCGTCAATTGATGTGACTCATGTTCACATCTAGAGACTCCATCCGCGGTGTCCCTTTCGTTTCATGATTAATTGCCACAATTACATTTAATATGAGTTCGACCGTTAGCTTTATCGAATTATGCAATCTTGCGGGAGCTTTTCGTTTTACAATTTAGTTTACTGTCGTTCTTTGTTCGCAGCTCACATAAATCACATCCGAGACGTGGCTGGCGTGGACAATGTTGGTCTGGGAGCGGGCTATGATGGGATTAACTTGTAAGTATTGTGCACGGGAGTTATGGATAAATGTGGCAACGACAAGTCTGGTCAATTCGTTCTTTTTTCTTCTTTCTTCCGTTCTTTCTTCCTGTACCTAACTATACGTGGACTCGTTTGAAAGAATGAACTTTTATCCCAGTTATGATCTTTGTACTGTAATGACGGACAGAAAACTTATTTTCGCAGAAATTTCATTTCCCTTCTTCAAAAGCAACAACAAAGAAACACTCGGAAATTCATAACGGATTTCATTCCAGTTACACTAACAGTTTTCAACTATTTAAAAACGCCACAGAAATGGGCGGCTGGTGACTGAATATTATGTACTTTGCGACATAATAATCATTAATTTATCAAGATAGTTATTTAGTGTATCTACGCTACACTAGACGCTGATTTTTATACGTTTGTTGGCCGTTGTCGTGTGCTAAGTAGTCAAGCGCAACGCGATATCCTTTATACTACTGAACTGGCCCGCACGAGACAGCTCTGCGCACTGTTTCGGAAACCCGTGCCTAAACCCATTTTCTAGTTTAAGGTAGTGAATTTAAATTGGTTAATGAGCTGCATTTAACCCAGCCAAAAGTGAGTTATTATATCTCGATCGATGCTTTATCTTATTACAATTTATTTACGTCTATCAGAAATTGTTAGCTTCAACAAAATTATGAGCAAGTTTGATTCCATGAACGATCATAGGAATAATTAACTTTCAAAAAATAGATAAGTTTATACGTAAACATTTCCACAACGTCCGTTCCATTTCGTCACGAGCCACCACTGGTCAGAGGTGTACATACCCCCATTCAAAATATTACCTTTGAGTATGTCTTAAAATTTACTATATTTGCAAAAGCATAATTATCCTTTGAAAAATCTGAGTAAGATCTTATTGGACATAGTAGCCTAATGCAATGGCTAGATGTCTCATTTAAATATTAATTAGCGTCCTTATTATAACCCTAAAAGAATTGGAACTGTTCCGATTCGGGTTTAAAGGCCGTCGTGGTTCTTCCGTCTCTGATGCTGGATGTAGAGACGGAAGGACCTCTGAAGAAGCGCGCCACTCGTACTAACGAAACGTTAGGAATCAACTCCAATAAACGACGGCCTTTAGACCCAAATCAAGACAGCACCGCAATTCATTAACTGGCCCTGAAAGTCTTTACCAATTTGCCTGGAAGGATTATTACCAAAAATTGTATTTCTTTCAAATTTTTTGGATTGATTATTAAACTTTACTTCAAAGCTTTATGTCAGAACACAGAATAAATGTGATAGTCATAATACATTAAAAACAATATTTTTGTATGAACTGATTAAAAATTTCACCTCAAGCGTCCACGTCAAAAATTTGAAATGTTCGCTTGTCTGAAACTCTAAAAGGGGTGTTTGACCATGGAACCCTAAAAAGCCGACGACTATAATTGTGGTAAAAAGAAAGAGAACGGATTTCGTGATTCGGTCGTTCGTGCTAGATATATATATATATATAAGAACGCTTTGTGTGTCGATGACGGTGACTTATATGGTTACATTCGGAAACAAGTCAAATAAATAACGGGTAGAACAAGAGTCCACTCGAACGGAGTGATTAAGGACATTCGCTTTCGCGACACTTTAACAAAAGAAAAGCACGTGATAACAGAACGTTTTATTACCACTACAGTCAGTGTATAACGTAATGTCAAGTTTGACAAAAGCGAAGCAACGAACGCGACGTTTGGAAATAGCAATTTCGGCCACTATTAATTTTCGCCTTATCTGCCAGGATAATTCTTTCGAGTTTTCGATATCATGCCTCCAATAATGAAGCTGTCGAATGGGGTTATAGAGCCAGCCGTTCGCTGCCAAGTACACTAATGACAAAAAACCTTCCCCTATTCGAATCCAATCCTCTCTAATAAATAATACTTTCCGATATCTACGATGACAGACACTTGTACTTTTCTAAATGAGATTTTTTATCTCCTTCTTCCATTAATTTTTGGTAAATTAATTTTCTAACAAGGATAACATCATCGATCCTTGTTATTACATGCCTAACAGTAATATACATTGAACTAAATTGATAAATTCTCCTTAAAAGAATGTTTTTTCCCAAATCTAAAAGTTGTATGTTTCAGTGTTCCGAGAGGCTTAGAAGACGTTTCATCTTACCCGACCCTCTTTGCGGAATTGATCGGTACCGGTAGGTGGAGTACGGAAGATCTAAAGAAATTAGCAGGTTTAAACATATTAAGAGTATTTCAAGATGTAGAACGTGTCAGAGACGAATTTAAAAAGGCTAAAGTACCGCCGTACGAGGATGCGATTATTCCAAGACCCAATCCCCACAATTGCAGTTCAGACCTTTTCTGATTTCTGGGTTGCGAAATGACTTTAACAAGTAATACTCTATAAACTGATATGGAGCAAAGATTTCGAAAGGATTTGTGTGAAGATATCATTAAGTGTTGTTTACGTGATCGAAACATTAAGAACCATCTGGTCAAATACATATAAAGACAAGTGTAGAAATAAAACAATTTTTTCCACCCGTTATATAATCAATTTTACAAGACTCACAATGCAATTAAAAAGGGTTTATGTAAATATAGTTTAATTTATACAGTGTGCAAATAATCAGTAAATAGGTAATTATGTGAATTAAATTTTTATCCTTGTTGACGGTTAAAGATCAGAAAAAGAAGGATATGAAAATAAGGAAAAGTTTATTGTTATAATTTATTTTCAGGAAAGATCTAAAAATGTAGAATTTAAATTTAAAAATTTGTTTTCAGTGTATCAATCACCAATTTTACGTGGTTATTTTTGTGTGCTAATGCCGAAAAAGTGGAGAGACCATAATTACAAGCAGATAGCACAGAAAAGTACCTACTTCATTTGCGATAAAATTGTGTGACGGTAAAATTGCAAAACTGATGAAAATTTTATTGACCAGTGCACCGATAACAGTAATAATAGTACTAATAACGATAAGAATGCAGATTTTTCGCAAATTTAGTGGCTTGCATTTCTCGGATCTAAATTTGCAGATGGTAAGTATTTATGCAACTCTCATAAACTTGCAAATTGGACTCGGTTGGTTGCGCGAAACTGTAAATTTCGTCTTTAAATAAATTTCACAGACAACTGGGCCACACGGTATTAGCCTCACAAGTTTTGCATAAAATATTTGCACCGAAATGTTCCCAGATCTAAGCTGTATTAAAGAGGCTTACGTAAATCAGCCTTTTTCCTTACTTGCGAAAATTTATTTACAGACGTTATTTACCAAGACGAGCAAGCTTATCTTCAACTTCAATAAAGTAGACTTATACAGAAAATATTACACAGGAAACAAAATTGTACCTACAAATAATCACAATCAAAGCATCCGCCATAGATCAGGCACGTATGAGTCAATGAAGGTGTCAAATTGCCCGCCCTCACCCCAAGCTAAACAGGGAAATCAATTAAATTCTTGTTAAAAATATTCTCCTTTTAAACCGCTTTAAGAGTACATTTTTCACAAATTTTAATCGACTTCATCGCGATTCAGTTTACCAATTTGGTAAACACGCTTATTTTGATAATAAATAATCAATCAATTTCAACCACCAAAATCATAACTTCATACCATTCAGTTTGTTTGTAAATAATATTAGTTACACACATGCAGGTGCACCATATGTAAATCAAAAATGTTGTGAATTAATTGAAATTAACAATCAAAAACTGAAATAACTATTAATAAACCACAAGCGTCTTTTCATGCTCTAAGTTGACGTAGCCTTCGAATTTCCGAATTGTATGCGAAAACAAAAATCCGTGTCATTATTTATTAACGAAATACTAAAAAATTAACAGAAAAATATATCGCATGGTCATATTTAAACTTTTGGCTTTAGAAAAACTAAATATTATAGGTACTTTTC